AAAGGATCTTGGGAAATTGAATTCAGCTTCACTTATCCATAGGAGTTGGTTTCAGTCATGGAGAGGTCTGTATTGAACCATCTAGGCAACCCACAGTCTTTTATCTATGAGGTCTGCAGGGTCTATTATATTATCTTATAATTTCCATTCTGCCTCAGGTCAAATGCAAATTTCTATAGTACCCAGAGAACTAACACTGGGAAAAATTTGTTTCCAGATTAACCAGAGGTGGTCCTACACTGGAGATTGTTGTTTAATAAATGTGAAACTGAGGCTGCAGAACTTTTTTATTTTCACTTTTCAGTGTGCTTTAGTTATTTATGACTCCGTGCCTGAAATTTTGTTACACCCTTGTAAATCACCAGAGAAATATTTGAGAGGTTGTTTTTCCCACAGAGGAAAAGCAGTCATAACTAAAAGGCTTATTTAGCTTATTTATATCTGTATACTTTATCAGCCTCTTGTACAATTTTGATTTCATTGTGGCAGTGTGTGCTGCACAGTCCAGCAGTACAGATCCACAGGGTTATAGCTGGGCACTATGTAAACACCCTATTTATTTTAATGGGAACATATTATTTTATAAATATTCTTTCGGAGATAAAAGGAAAATTCTCCGAATGTAAATTTGGCTCTGCTGAATAGTCATTCAAAAAGAGGGACTGGAAGGTGACATGTGTACCCCTTTTTAACTTGTATAACATTGAAAGCCTTAGAAATTTTAGTATCATTCACGTTAACACATCAAAGTACTGGTGGGTGAACTCAAATCTCTCTGAAATGCTAATCCACACCCTTAACTGTAGTGAAATGAACATACAGATGGTTCTTCTAATTACTTGGAGAAAGAAAAGGGGATGATTTCCTTTAATGATTTCCCCTTATTTCCTGACTGAAAGCGGTTCCAGCTCTTCCCTCCAGCTAATTTGACGATTAAAAGGTGCCTTTGTCTTGCTTTCAGCTATTGAGGCTTCATCACAGTCTGTTAAAACTCTCCCTCCTGAAGCGAGGTGTGAACCCAGGGCTCTGTAGGTTTGGTTCAGAGGTCATGTGAAGGGGAATTATAGCCCTGAGCATTTAAAATCAGAATGCAGGGGGGATTTTCATCATCCCATGTCATTGCACTGACGGCAGAGGTGGAGTTTTGGGATGAAAATGGGAGCTTGACTCTTAGATGCAGTGGGTCCCTGATGAAGAAATAGAGCCCAGGTATTCAGAGTCCAGACTCGTGGTAGCCCCATTTTCCCAAGGATACAAATGAAGAGAAGCTGTTCACTTCACCACTGCTTCGTGGGGTCCCGTGTGCTTCAGAGGAACTGCAATAAAAATGATCTGTGAATCATTTCAGAGCTTTTACTTTTCATTGTAGACTAGAACAAAGGTTGGGACTTTATAAATTCTGCCCTGAAAGATGAGATCTGCACACTAAAACCAGCTGGCACGATTGTCCCACTGCCTCTGTGCACCTCTGGATCAGGGTGGTGCAGTCCTGTGTGTCAATGACAGTCATCCCACAACCCATAGAAGCATTTCACTTCATGGCACAAGCTGCTACTGTCACTTCAGGATTCAATAGAATTAAAAAAAATACCATCTGATGGCGTATTTTTCTGAACATTCTAGAAACTCCCATGTATTTTTCAATTAAATACTCAGTGGGAACAACAACAAAAAAGAAAAGCTTAAATAAATACAGCTGCTCCAGTCCTTCTGAACTTCTAAATATACATCTCATATAGTTACCCCCAACCAACAACACTTTCTGTTCTGTTTTTGAGGTACACCACTTCTCTCCAAGCTGTTCAAAAGACTGGGATTTGGTTCATGGCTGTAAATATACTATTTCAGTGCTCAGAGAGAGTAATTGAGAGGTAAGAATTCAGTGGGGGCTTTTTCTACTTCATTTTTTACTAGAAAGAATGTTGTATAATGTTTTTGCTAAGTAAAACTCTAACCAGGCTTAAAAGCTCTTATTCCTACTAGAACAAAAATAGGAACCATTACTGACATAGAATAGATTTGTGGCCTTTTTGAAAGTACGATATTGTGGGTATCTTCAGAAAAGGCTTTGGAGGACTTTGTTGCCTGGGCTGTGTATTTTGACTTTTTCTGCTTAAATCCAGGCTTTGAAATGTCAAAAAAGAAATAAGGGATGGGGAGAATGGTTAATTAGAAATTACTGTTCTTCTGGAGTGATGACACCTCATACAGTAGTAGGGAAAGGTGGTTTGCCTATACAGGATATCAGGAGATCTAGAGCAAATTCTACCAGTAATATCTGTCCTGCTTCAGGGTAAAAATTATCCAGCCTCAGTTTTGTCCTGCCTAGAGTGGAGATGACACTGATTTTTACTTGGTATCAGAAAGAGTTGCTCATTATTGTGCATAAAATGCTGTGAGCTTCTGGGCTTGTTGCATTTGCAGTGATTAAGCTCTGTTTGGGCAGGTCTTGCCTTGCTCCACTGCAAGTCTGTCTGAACACCTGGAGAGCTGCTACAGCAACAGGGTCAAGATAATAAATGAGCCCTATGTGGCAAATATCAGCTCACTTCTATGGAGCTTTTGTATTTTGCCCTAATTAGAATATGGTTCTCATGATTCACTACTGCTAGGAATGAACCATTTGAAACACCACTTCTGTTTCTTGACAGGAAAGACTTGTTTTGTTGCAGTGATGGAAAAAACATGTGTAAAGTGATGTAAGAATCACTTCACTTGTAAACATCTGGGGCGTGCTGGACCCCAGATTCCACACAGATTCCAGCCAGTTCTCTATTATACAGAATCAGAAAGTCCTGCACTGGGGCCGTGAGTTATTTTGACATTGCAATGCTTAACTGCAAGCTTTTAGCAAAAAAAAAAAACCCTTCCAGGTTAAGGCTCCCACATGCTTTAATTGATGAGCATGAGATCAACACTCACAAAATGCTGGAGGTCACTTGTTTAATGCAGCAGTAGGCACTGTGTTGGTGGTGGAGCTGGCATCAGTCACCTAGAAAGGAGGAAAAAATCTGCTGTTTCAACAAAAAAAAAAACGGGTGTCGTGTCTCAGAGAAGAGCAACCAACACAGAGGAGCAGCAGAAACGGGACCACCTTTTGCTCTGATTCACCATCCAGCCCTGAGGTGAGTGACCATGGAAAACAGACATTCAGCAGTGATGCAAAGTAAAACAGACTTGTTCCATAGAATAAAAATGTCTGTGGAAAAACAAGTAAATGATGGGTCAGATATCTGCTGTAGAAATTGCATGTTGAAGTCTTCTAATTGATGGGAGTTCAACAGGTGCTTTCAGATGTAAACAAGGCTGTTCATAAAATTAGAGCTGTGGCTCTTACTGTGCTCAGGTACTTGACAGAGCCCGGGCCTGAGGACAGTTCTCCCATCACTAATGCAGCCACAAAATGAACAAAACACTTCTTGGAAAGGAATGTTAGGGGAAAGCTACCAGGAGACTAAACTCTTAATCTAAAAGCAATCAGGTAACGGGATAGCATCCATGGGGAATAATAGGACTTAATAACATGAGCCCAGGAGCTCTGCAGATGGGGCTGGGCTCCTCCTTGGTAAGAAAGGTTAAACAAAGGCAGAGTATCCACAGGAAGGGCTGAAAGAGGTGACCCAGAAGGGATCACAGTAGGGGAAATCTGATGGTCTTTGTGATTTCAAGCTTCTTGTATCAGATAAAAAGATGGGGGAAAGCCAACAGAGCTGGAGACAAGCATTCTAAAGGAAATATATTAAAGAAAAGGGCAGGGGAGAAACTGGGCAATGTTGAAATCTGTAGCAAAATTCACATTGATTTTCATAGTAACAGAATGTAAAGTCAGGAGTACTGACATTTATAACCAGTGCTGCAAGGTACCAAAATAACATGAGAGGACAAACAGCTGAAATGGTGTGTGTGGGTAAGCCATGGCAGTAGGAGTCATCATGAAACGTTCATTCACCTTCTGTGTTCCTCTAATTTCTTCCACCTTTAGCATTTTTGGCTCCATGTTTTGCTCATCCAACAGCAGGTGACTTTAATGGCTATTTTGAGTGATACTGTGAAGCAGAAAAAAGTAAGCAGCCAAATTCTGCTGTGGAAGAGGAATTGAGAGAGTGAAAGAGAATAAACCCAGATGTTGAAGCATAGTTATAAGGGCTGGATGCACATACACACAGACAGAGTGAGACAATAGTCCTGAGAGCAAATATAGATCTGTACAGTTGGAAGGAGAGGAGATCATAAGTAAGCCTGGCTGTAAATATGCTATAAAATATTCTTCTTTAAAATGTCACTTCCTTATTCTTAGTACAAATGTTCTAAAAACATGCAGAAGGCTTCATTAGAAGTTCTGTTAAGTTAGGTTCTATTGAGATGATGTAGGTTATTAAAGTACAATATCTCTTATTCCCTTTTTTTCCAAACATGAATTTGCATGAGAGAGCAGAACAACTCAATTCCAAATAGTGTTCTTATCTCTACATAATGTTATTATGCAAACTATAATCAAACTAGATGACAGTCCTCCAGAAAAACCTTTAGTATTAAGAGCTTTCGAAGCTCCAGGGCAGATTGTTGTTAGTGGGATAGTTAATTAAATGGAAGTTGGATTTTATTACTCTGTATAAACAACTAAGAGCAGCTGGGATGATATTGGTCCTCTGGTCTTTTTTTCCTTTTTGTTTGACAGGTATTAATTGAACTCATTGTTCCATGAAAGCAGCAAGTTTTCTCATGTCAGTGTGGTCCCTACAGAACATCAGAGCTGTTGCTCTCTTCTGCCCTTCACCCATCCCCAGGGTGGGTGGGCACCTTGGGATAATGCAAAGTGCTGGATTTGGTTGGGATAGAGTTAATTTTCTTCAAAGGAGCTGGTATGGGGCTGTGCTTTGGATCTGAGCTGAAAACATGTCGATAACAGGGATGTTTCAGTTCCTGCTGAGCAGGGCTCACACAGAGCCAAGGCCTTTTCTGCTCCTCACCCCACCAGTCAGGAGGCTGGGGGTGCACAGGGAGTTTTGGGGGACACAGCTGGGACAGCTGAACCCGAGTGACCACAAGGGTATTCTCTATTATGTGGTGTCGTGCTCAGCATATAAATCTGGGGGAAGAATTAAGGGGGGATGTTGGAGGTGATGGTATTTGCCTTCCCAGGTGGTGCTGCACGTGATGGAGCCCTGTTTCCTTGGACGTGGCTGAACACCCACCTCCCACGGGAAGGGGTGAGTGAATTCCTTGTTCTGCCTTGCTTGTGTGTGCAGTGTTCACTTTAGTTATTAAACTGTATCTCAACCCACGAGTTTTCTCACTTTCACTCCTCTGGTTGTCTCCCCTATCCCACCACAGGGCAGTGAGCCAGTGGCTGTCGGGGCTCAGCTGCCCACTGTGGTTAACCCACGATGTGCAGGAAGCAGGAAATGCCTTTTCCTTCTTCAATTCTTGGGGAGAGATCCCCTCCGGGTGCGGGGTTCGGTGCAACTGCTGCTCTGATGGTTTTTCAGGGGTTGCACACAGAAGATTTCTGCGGGCAAAGAACATTTAGCAGGTGGTGGGGGAACCCCCAGGGACAGGGGGGTTCTGAGAGCCCTGCCCTTGCCTTTGGGGTGGCGGTGGCTGTCCTGCCCTGTCCCACCGAGGGGCACAGCAGCTCATCCCGGGATGGGCGCTGTCCTTGGTGCTGCAGGAGCCGCTCCCGCTCCGCTCCGGGTGCGGGGAAACCTCTCGGGCAGTGCCCAAACCCTGCCAGAGCCCCTCCTGGCACGGCGGGGCAGGGGGCACTGCTTCTCCGGGGTACCCTAGAGCAGTGCCATGGGGCAGGCAGCATTTTGCCCCGCTGCTGCTCAGATTTAACCCTCAGCAGCGCGGTTTTGCCGCCAGCCCTCCCCTGCGCCGGGGCTGACCTGCCCGCGGGACCCGCGGGGTTCGCGGGGACCCCAAATCCCGCTGCCCGCTCTGCAGGGAACGCTCCGAACGCTGAGTTCCTCAGAGTTCCTCTGAGTTCCTCCAGGGCTCAGCATTCCACCTGCAGATGTTCCTGGCAGCCAGTTCCCACAGTCTGTCCTGGCTTGGGGCACGTACTGGTATTGATTCTGCATCCCTTCAGGGCTCGGGAGCAGAGGAGAAATGCCAGTTTTTCTGGAGCAGCAGATGTTGGATCTGTTGGATATGGAAATGTGCCTTCATACTTTTCCATTTTCATCCTCCCTTGTAACAGCCTTTAAATCAGAGACATTCAGATAGCTTTTCCCAGGCTAGTCCTGACTGAGCTATTAAAATAAAAAGTAAGCACACTTTACCAGGATGTGTCAGCACTGTTGCCTAAAATCATAGTTGCAAACAAAGAGGAAAACCTCTAGCTTAGATATTCCTAAAGATTTTGCCCCGTGGCTTTGTTTGTTTGTTCAATTGGTTGTTTTCCTTGTGTTATACATCCTGTCTATGGGAACTCTAAAGACAGCAACTTTCTCTTACTGTAACATGACAAGGATCCATTTCAGAGGTGTGTTTACAAAAGGATTTGTAACAAAAATCTGAAATTCCATTGATGTCTGTCCAGACAACTCAGAGATTATCAGACTTGTTAGCCAGACTCTGTTCTTCAGCACAATACTCCTTTAGCATTCTCAAGCAACATAATCAACACAAATACCTCTTGAGTAATCATAGCATTTAACCTATTTCTCCTGTGCCTAGAGATTAAAAACAAAACAAAACAAAACAAAACCAAAAAACCAACAACAAAACTCCTCAAACAACAGCACATACAGATACACACAAAAAGCAAAAAATCCCTCAAAATTGCACACCAAAACCTAACATAAAAAAATCAGGTCATCTTCTTTCTTGGTCATTAATTCCTGCGTGGATTTACCTGGCAAAGAAAATCATAAGGTGTGGTGACATGGGGGAACCAAGCCTGGCTGTACCAAGTCTCCAGGCAGTGTTTTTTTAGGAAGGCAGGTCAGAGAAAAAAGAATCAGTGATGGTACTGACTGAAGTGCCTTGTGATCAAACTGTTTTTCCAGAGTGACTGTGCCAGCCCTGCCTTTCTCCCTGCTTTGTAAATCAGCTGCTCTCAGCAGGTGCCAAGATCAGCAACAGGCAAACTTCATCAAGCAAATATTCAAGTGCTGTTCTAGTTGATCTTCACAGGCACTAGTGCAAAAATCTTCCTGTCAAAGAAGAGCAAAGAACACTAAAAATGTCTTAGGATGTAGTCTGAGCTGTACCCATGTGTGTGGGTCTGCATGTATACACATCTGAATTCTATCTTTTGAACATTATCAATGGGAATACTGTCGAAAAATGTGATAGTGGAGTTATTTTCAGGTAGGAGTGAGTGCAGTCCAAAGTCTGTGTTGATGAAGGATAGAAAGGAGCCTCCTGAAGCTCAAGCCCCAAGCAAGAAATCAGGCCACACACACGTGATAAATGGATCAAGATTTCTGTTAAAAAGCAGGTGTTTTATCCCCCCTAATACAGTGATTGTTCCAAAAGCAAGCACTTCCAAGGGGCAATTTGTTGCCCTCCCACTTAGAAGTGTTCTACTTTCTGTGCTAAATTTGCCCATGGTGAATTTGGTCTTTCATTAATGTTGTTCCTTTGCTTAAATACATCTTTGCCTGCCCTGGAGTTTACCGTCCTCCCTAGTGTTTTTAAAGAATATAGTGCAATTCTGCTCTGGTGAATAGACACTTAGAGCAAGAAAATTGTCCAGAGGCTGTAACAAAGTGGAGGCAAATTCACCCTGGAATCTCTCACAAAGTGGTAGATTTTCTTTTCTTCCACTCTCAAATGCACTGCCTGCTTCATTGTATAGACCTGCAACAAAATTTAAGCCACAGTAAAAATTCTTATTATTAGGTGACCTTGATCCTGTCTTTTATGACAGGTTTTTCCTCCCCTTCTCCCTCAGGTTTCCAAAGTTTCACTGTTTAACTGTGACCTGGCACCTTCATTCCCAGGGAATCACTTGTATTTTCCCCCAGTTTTTATGCTTTTATCTTTATTTCAGCACATGGTCTTTGTCATCTGAGGAACCAACTCACTTTTCTCGTGTCACTTTCCCCAGAAGGCAAAGAATTCTGTGCATATGTAGAGTAGAGCCCCTGTTCTATATTTAGTGTGCAACCTTAAGCAAGTTTTGACTGAAATTCAAACATCCCCTTCCTTCAAGTTGTTAAGCTCCTCTTCAGTTAAAGTGAATTATTTGAAACTGAATCCTGTGTTTATGAAAGTTTGGTACCTTGAATTTGAGAAAAGCAGCAACAACAACCAAAAAACTCCTAGCCAACCAAAAAAAACCCAAACCCTTGTTTGTAAACATGGTTCTTAGAGTTTAGAAACTGTGGTGTTCCAGTCCACAACAGGGGCAAGCAGGATGCATTTATATGATTGAGAGGGGGACAGGCTGACCTGACATGAAATTATTGTGGGAAATAAAATCCTGTCCCCTGGCTGGTCAAAAGAATAATTTGCTAAAGGAACCCTCATATCTGCATCATTCAAAATAGGCAAAGTATCTATTTTTATTGTAGGCTCTACAAGAACTACCTGATCTTTTCTGCACAGAAAATTTGTGGAATGATGTGAAAGAATTTTTAAAGGAGGTCTGTGATGCAAAAGAAGTCCTCTTTATGCAAAAAAAAAAAAGGCAAATAAATAGGAACATAGAAAACTGACACCTGAAACTGTGAGACTAATGAGACAAGAAAATGTTCTGGTCTGTAAAGCCTAAAAGCATCTTACAATGCTTGTGCTGTGCAGAGTTGGACAGAAGCACAAGAGATTATAAAAGCTCAGCTGTGAAACATTTCTGTGGGGTGTTGGTCTGGCTCTGGGTACAACATTCTCCATTGACTGAGGGAAGACCAGGGTTTCACTGAACACTGATCATCATTCCTACATGTGGCACCCTTAAACACTTGGAATGTCAAACAGTTCTAACGTGACAGTAACACAGTTCCTGTGACCTTTTCTCTTTTACTGAGAAATTCTCTGTGTGAAATGGACTTACAGGCAGTTCAAGAGGGACTCTGTCACACAGCCCAGGAAATTCTAAACAAGATTCGTATTTGGAGGAAAGAGGATTTCTTTGGGCTAAATTGCTGGGCTGTTTTTTTATTCAAGCCTCTATTAAATATTATCTTTCCAGATCTTGGCTGTAGAAGACAGCTGAACTGAAGAAATCTTCTGCCTGAAGCCAAAACAAGCAGAAAATCACTGACAGAAATAGGTGGGAGCCTTGAAACAGAAGGTGTGCTCGTTACTCATTTCAGAGGTGAAAAAAGGGCATTTAAAGGTAAGAGAAAATGTAGGAAGATTTACCAATACAGCTTGAAATAAAAGGACCTCTAAGGTTAGTTACAGGGTTTTTTGTGACCTGAGCATTAAGGTGACCTTGAAGGTTTCTTTAGATGATTCTGTGTTTCATTTTTATTCTCACATGTCAAAGCATAAACCTTTATTTTCATTGGAATACAATGAGGATATTTATTGGGTCTACTCTGCAGCTCTTGGGAATGATGCAGAAAAATCACTTAGTTAAAAATGAAATTTTTAATTACTACATATGCAAGGATATCATCGTGAGGATTCTTTCCTGGCACGAGCCTTGCAATTCCAGCAGGATGTGGCAGCACGAGGACCATTTGCATATGCCCTCCTTTCATTTTTCTATGTCTTTTGGCTTGTACTAGAGACCATGTCCAAAGCCTGCTGCAATCCTACTTTAAATCAGGCCATACTTTTCTCTCACATTAAGCGAAGCAATTGCATTTATGGGTTTGGGAAATTACTTTTGCATCATGGTACTTATCACCAAGTGCCGTGGCTGCATTGGGTGGTGACAGCAGCAGGAATCCCCTTTTTCCTTGCCTCTTTGGAGCCTCACCCCTCAGCTCTCTCTCCTGTTCTGGATTTGGGTATGTAGAGATAAATAGGTACCATATTCCCTTGGGTCCCATCCAGCTCAGGTAGGAGAGATTGGACTCTGAAGTGGGCTCTAACATCCCATTTTTAGTCTGGGTCATGGGTAGGTTACTACAGGCGTGAAATGAAGGATAACACTCCTGAGTAATGTGGCTACATGCCTGTTCTCCCCTCAGGCTGGAATTACAGCAATATTCCAGTCCAGAGCATAAACCAACCCTGGATGGAGCAGCACAGAGTCAGTACTTACCAAGTTCAAAATGCCCATCCATCACAGGCAGAATGGCTCCAGTCTGAACAAGGGCTGCACAAGATTGCTTCTGTTTTAGGATTAGGGAAAGGAATATGACAGAAATTAAATCTATGTTAAAGTCTGATTTATGTCAGATTACATCAAATCAAAAGAAGGATACGGTTCTGCCCATAGTCTCATAGAAAATAATGGCTCAATATTTCCTTAGTCTAACAGATTAGGACATAAACTGTCATTTACAATTGTGTCTTGCAAAACCTAGCAATGTTATCTGCTCTGAAGTATTCTGAAGTTAGGCTGCTCCGTTTATTTTTTAGTTTCCCTAGCTGGTACAGATGGATGTAGTGGATTTTCATTGTTTTTATGAGCAGCTGAGGTATTGGTGCCAGATTGAGGTGGAGAGGAGTTAAGGGAGAATTAGAGCAATAGGCAAGAGCTGGATGGGGTGATTTTTTGCTTTCTAGTGTCTGAACCAAGCAAAACAAATACAGATGGATTTACAGACCAGTTAGTACTTGTGGTCTGGTACAGAAAAGGTTAACAGATCTACTGCAGGAATAAAGAAACACCCCAAATACTTTTGGGTAGCTGGAATATTAGAAACAGTATGCTTTAGTTCAGGGCAGGTAAACCTTTACAGCTAATCTTTTTGGATACCAGTATTTCCTTTCAGATGCTCACATGTGTTTAAAGATGTGCAAATCCTACAGAAAATAGTCACAGTGGGTGAGCAAACATTGCACCATGACTGGAAAACAAATGCAAATAAAATAAGTTCCTCTGAGTTACATGCTAAATGCACATTTCTAAGCCTAACTTCATTCACCAGGTACATAGCTGAGACCCTCTAGTGGCATAAACATTTATTTGCCTTCAGCATATTATTAAAATTCTCTTTCACAGTCACATTATAGCAGCAAATTCACAGGTAGCTTTTTTGGACACTCTGGGGGCTGTGGCAAAGTGAATCTGGGATTAGATACTGTGCAGGCTCATGTTAATGAATGTAAATTGATTTTTAGCTGTGAGGGGCAATTATAGATGCACTGGAAGGAGAAGGGAGTTTTTGAAAGGATATTCTAGAACTAATTACTATCAGCAAGAAGCACGCAAAGAGCAACGCAATACCCAGGACAGCCAATAGGGAGAAAAGCTGGTACACAAATCTGTCCTGACCTGGGAGTAAGACTGTTTAAAAACACTGATCTGCACTTAGCTTGTAAATGCGCATCACCCTCTTTCTCCCTCATATATTCTCTCTCTCTCTCTCTCTGACACACACACACATCCACGCTCCTGGATTTGCAGAAGACAGACATCTAGGGCACTTCTTGGCATCCCCAGGAAAATCGTATGGGATTAAAAACCCACAGCAGTAAGTACTCGTGCATTAAATGTTTATTAAGTGGCATGCTGTCAAAACCTGGATTTAATAGTAAATACAGGAGGAATTTAATGGAAATTGGTTGTATTTGATTTTTCCTAGGAATTGCTGGAAGCTGCTTCTCGAGGATTACAACTTCACCTTTTGCTTTTAGGGATGCTTGTTTACTATCCATGTGGTAACCTCTGGACAGCCGGTAATCCATTCATTATCCCCACTGATTGAGTGAGGGAGTAGTGCAGCGGTAACTACTTCACTCGGCTGAAGGCAGACAACAAAAGGAGGAAAATGATGAATTCGGACAATTTAACCTCCCAAAGCTTCCTCTCTGCAATTCACAGCAACGCCAGCAATTTATTCTCAGGTCTCCAGTTTGTTCAGTCCTTCAAGCCACTAATCATCCCCTGCTACTCCCTGGTGGTTTTCATCGGTGTCATTGGGAATTACCTGCTCATTTATGTTATCTGCAAGACAAAAAAAATGCACAATGTCACCAACTTTCTCGTGGGCAATCTGGCTTTCTCAGACATGCTCATGTGTGCAACCTGTGTGCCCCTGACACTCGCCTACGCCTTCGAGCCCCGGGGGTGGGTGTACGGGCGCTTCATGTGCTACTTTGTTTTCCTGATGCAGCCCGTCACGGTGTTCGTGTCTGTGTTCACCCTGACTGTCATAGCTGTGGACAGGTACTGTGCCATGGTGTACCCCTTCCGCAGGAGGCTCACCATCCCTGTCTGTGCTTACATCCTGGCTGCTATTTGGCTGCTGAGCTGCACCCTGGCTGCCCCAGCCTTAGTCCACACTTACCACGCGGAGTTCCCGGAGCTGGACTTCTCCATCTGCGAGGAGTTTTGGTTCCACATGAAAAGGGATCGCTTGGCTTACGCCTACAGCACCCTCATCATCACCTATGTGTTGCCTTTGGCTGTCATCTCCCTGTCCTACCTGAGGATCTCAGTCAAGCTGAAGAACCGTGTGGTGCCGGGCAATGTCACCCAGGGCCAGGCCGAGTGGGACCGTGCACGGAGGAGGAAGACTTTTCGCCTGCTGGTCTTAGTGGTGGCAGCCTTTGGAGTCTGTTGGCTGCCTCTGCACATCTTCAACGTGATAAAGGACATAGACATCAGCCTGATTGACAAGCAGTATTTCAACTTTATCCAGCTGCTGTGCCACTGGTTTGCAATGATGTCTGCTTGCACCAACGCCTTCCTCTATGCTTGGCTCCACGACAGCTTCAGGGGAGAACTGAAGAAAATGTTTGCCTGGAGAAAGAAGAAAATTGGACCCGCTACAAACTGCATTATGGCCAGTGTGGTGCTGTAAACGAGGTCTGGTGGGAGTGCATTTCCTTTGTACAGTAACATTGTAAGTCTTTTCCACTTCTAATTAGTCCTCATTCCTGGAATTTGTCTTCAGGGCTCAATTATAACAACACAATTCCCATGCTTATCTTCCTCAGCACCTCCACTTCTAATGGAGAATGACAGGCAGATGTCATGTTTAAAAAATGTCTTTTCTTCTTTGACTGGAGTTAGAGGCAAGGAGATATTACCACAATAAGATACAGGGATCCTTCCTATCTGTTTTGGATATTACTCAGTACAGACATGGGTTTTGGGGACAGGGAGAAGCAAGGATGAGTATGAAACCTAAATACCTCAATGGGGGAGTGTTTTGGATTGGGTAGAAATTAAATTTGCTATCTACCCAGAGTCCATTCCTTAGCCCAGGATCTAAGGCAGAGGACTAACAATATTCCTGTAGTCCTCTTGGGTTAGGGCCAAGTTGCAAATAGCATAAAGATCTCTGAAATGCTGTCCCTCGGCAGCTACCCCAGCTGTGGGCAGGAAACCAGGTTGGCAGGAGCTGCTCCAAGCCTCCCTGTGCCAGCTGAGCTGTGCTGGCAGCAGGGGGATGCAGTGGTGTCCCCTCTCCCAGGGGTGTGGGTGACATGCAGGGTGATGGCAGCAGCTCACTTGCAACCCCTCCAGGTGCCTCTGTTCAAGATGACTGGGTCACCTGTGTGCCTGTGGCCCTTGGTGGGGTGTGCTGTGTCTGCCCTGCAGGGTTTCTCCCCTCACTCCCATCTGCTCCCTGCCCCAGGCCCAGGGGGTGGAGTCACAGCCTCTGGGACTGCACAGGAATTTGGGGTTTCTGGGTTTGGAACCCAGCACCTTCCTGCAATCCCAAACCCCCTGTGTCTTGTGAGCCTGCAGCAGAGCATGTAGCAAGGTGAGATGTAGTATTGCAAGAGGGTAAATCAAAGCAGAGTGATGTTATTTCTGTGATGTGAAATGTGATGCAGAGTGGGTAACAGCCTGTTTGGCAGATTTGCAAGTGTTGCCATCAAGGATGGACTGACTAGAAACACAACCTGTAGTGGAAAATCATTCAAATAGGGGACATTAAGACACACCACCACTTTACTGCCATTGAATTGTGTTCCTGCCATTGTCTCATGCAACCCTACTGCAAGTCAGCTGCCTTTGTCATCACAGCATTGTTAGTGCTGAGATGAATTCCACTCATTCCTCCAGGAGCTGATTTTGACAGGTGGCAATGGTGCCATCAGCTTTGATCTCCAGAGAGAGCCAGAGGCTTTGATACTGCCTTGAGGAGCCCTTCTGGAGGTGTCTGTTAAGAGACAGTGGGCTGAAGGGGCCATGGACACTGAGTCACACACGAGCACTGCGTGAGCAGTCAAAGCCAGAGCTGCCAAAGGGAGTGGACTGGCAGGAGCTCCCCTTTGAAGGAGTCTTTTGGGAAGAAACAATTTCCTTTGACATTCACATTTCGATAAGATGAGGGAGTTAGAAGCTATAATCAAACTAATGGTAGCCATAATCAACCTAATGGTTCCTAGTTCCTTCCTTCCTGAGCTGAAAGTATCTGAGATCACAGGGAAGTGTACGGGACAAAGTTCTGGAAGCAGACACTGATCCTGAAGAGGTTTCTTCCAGGCTGCTCAGCTGAAAGCTGTGATGGCACGAGGAGCTGCCTGATGCTGAGGGGAGATCAGCCAGAGAAGCAGAGCAACCCAGGGGCAGTTTTGGCCATCTGGCTGACCACAACTGCACGTGGCCAGGTACATACTCGCTGTGAGGCAATGCCAGTGGACATGAGGGGAGAGGGAAGACAGAGAAGAGGTTTCTTTGGTTTGCACATGTACTCCTGCTGTGAAACTGTGAATATAATTCTGCTCATCACCTTTCAATAGGCTTAATCTGGTTAAAAAGCTCCCACAGATCCATATGCACACACTGAGAAAAGTGTTGGAAAAACATTCGAAATCCCATTTCACAAATTCCCTAAAATTTCAAGTTGTTTTGCTGCTAGTAAGGAGGATATTAGAATCTGTAGTGAAAGGACAATAAATTAGAATCTGTAGTGATAGGACAACGAGTAATGGGTACAAATTGAAAGGGGGGAAATTTAGGTTAGACATTAGGAAGAAATTCTTTACTGTGAGGGTGGTGAAACACTAGAACAGGTTGCCCAAGGAGACTGTGGATGCCTCAGCCTGGCAGAGTTCAAAGCCAGTTGGATAAGGCCTTGAGCAACCTGCTCTAGTGGGAGGCAGGAGGGTTGGGAATAGATGATCTTTAAGGTCCATTCCAACCCTTTAACATTCTATGATTTTGTGACTCTGTGATTACAGAAACACTGAATGAAGGAGGTCCTTTTAAGCTGGGCATTACTTGCATTCACTCTGAGATTAAGTGTATCTGCTTTGCTTACCTTGATTTAAAGATTTGAATGACCGGTTAAAGAATGTTTTGTTTTGCTGAATTTCAGGAAATTGTTTTTCCTTCAAGCTCAATATAGCAAGCTACTGGGATAATTGGTGATTTTGAAAAGACAAAAAAACCCCCACTTCCAAACAAACCAACCAAATTTTACAAGCTTTTCAGGTTTTTTTCAGGACTCTTTTGAAGACCACAGAGAATAGGACACCAAGAGAGCACTGAAACAACACTGCAAAAAGCAGCTTCAAATAACAAAAAAATCCTGACTTTCAGAGGTTTTTCTTTTACTGAATTATGTTAATCTGTTGGTTTATAAAGGTTAATTAATACTGAGGTGGCCCATAATGTGCTCAACCTCCTGCACTAAACACAGACAGTGCTGTAATCCAGAGTGATCCAAAGCTCAGTGCAGTAACTGGGATAACTTTCTCAACCACAGCAGGCCAGGGATCATTTCCTTCTTACACATCATATTTTTACCCTCATTTGCCAGCACTGCAGTTTGAGTTATTAATGTTCCTTTGAATGTTAATGGCTGAAGATGGTGGCTGCAGAGAGCTGCCTGAAGCAAACAAGGGATTTGTCTCTCTATTTTGTTTCCTTGAGACAGAAATGAAGGGCTGTTCAGTGCACACATTGTTCCCACAGTGACAGATGCTTTGGGAACATCTCTTTTCCAGCAGCCTCTGGAGCTGCTGTTAGAGCAGTGCCAAGGTCTGTCATCTCACAGAGGTCCTCAGGAGTGCCCAGCACAGTAGGCACCCTCATCTAAGTGCTGGTTTAACCTGGACATGCCCTGAACCTGTCAGGATGTGCTTTGGCAGCAGAAAGCTCAGAGCCTGCCCCTCGCTTCAGGCGCTGCTCACCATAGATTTTGCAGGTGCCCCCTGGAATGATCTGCATTCTCCAGCACAGACTCCTGAAGCTCCTTCTCTCTTCTCTGCAGCCCCCTCGATCCCCCTCACTGGTCCTGCATTGCCATTTTTCCAGGCTTTCCCTGCGTGGTGCACAGAGGAATTCCAGCCGTGGGCTGGAGGACTGGGGGCTCTGCAGCCTGGCAGGGACCGAGGCACAGCCACGTTGGCTCAGTCCTGCCTCTGAATAGAGCCCCAAGAATCTCTGCTCAATTTAATTACTGTTTTCTCTGATATACAGAGTAATAAACAATAATAAGATTTAGAGGCACATTGATGCACTACTTTAATCCAGTTATGCAAATAATTCTATTAAAAGCTGTCATGAGAAACTTGTTTGCCAATCTCCACCCCTCTCCAGGGAGCTGCTGTGGTTCTCTGAGGGGCCAGGGCTCATCACTAAGGTATTTTTGGTGGTATACTTTTTAATTACAATTTAAGAAATCATTGCATGCTTTGATTTTATAAGGTAGCCTGGTTCAGAACTTGATGAATCTATTAACTTTCCCTGGAAGGGTTTTTGTTGTTCCTTGCTTACATTGCAGCCCGGGACTCGCACAGAGCAGGGCAGTGCTCTGCAGGGATGAGCAGGGTTTGCATCTGAGCTGAGGTCTGGCAGAATGGAATATCCTCCTCCTCTGCTGGGATTTCTTTCCAGTTATTTCCATGTACAGAGAGACTGTCAGCAGGTACAGACCCAGGTGTTCTGTGTCTTACAGCAGTAAATAAGTGTTATTTATGAGGGTTCCTTGGACTGTTCCTAAAGGACAGTCTCCAGTAAACACTCCTAGGTGCATTATGGAGTTAGCACACATGCTTGGGGGTGGTGATTTTGGGTAGGTATCAAAGGCATGAGCCAGCAAGTGGGTTATCAGAGCATGGACAGTCTTGGGCTTTGGAAAAGGAGGGGTCACTGAGGATCACACCTCCTCATTGCAAAAATCCTCTGGAAGATTCCACTGGGCCAAACCTCTACAGCTCTGAGCATCTCTGAAATGTGGGCAGTGCTATGGATATGGAAGGAAAAGCAGGGGAGAGTGAGGTGTCTTCACTTACAGTGAAGAGCACAGATTTAGACAGCAGGGTCACAGCTTCACAATTTGAAGCTATTCTGCATAGCTGTTGGAAAGACTCACAGAGCATCATTCCAGCAAATATACTGTATTTCCAGTGTTCATAGATGCACTAATGCTTTGTCAAACACAGGCTATGCCCTGTGGTAAAACATGGGGCTCGTATCAAAAGGCAGTGTACTTAAGAAACACATATATAAGTCAGTCAGTATTGGATCAGGAACTAAAAACCAGATTAGATAGTGACCAAAGGTCACTAAAGCTGAAATCAGGTAGACAAAGAAAAACACTTAATTAAACCTAAATAAGGGTCAGGTAGAGTTGTCTCTCCCCCACTTTGAGAATATCTGCTCAGAGCAGTCACAAAAGACTAAATTGCTTGTGCAATGCATTACTTCAAATAAATTTTCCTCATACTTGGATGAAGGAAATTCAAGGCTGTATTTGTATCATGTTTGGGGAATGGCAATTTATCTGGGGTGGGCAAAAGCAGGTCCTGCCATAAGGCCACTGCTCAGATGAGCATGGTGAGTGTTTCCCAGCTGATGGATGGACTGGGAAAAGCTGGTACTTCTCATACCAGCTGAACAACAGATGCTCTGCACAGTTCTAATGGAACAAATCTTGCTGGCTGAGCTGTCAATGGTGAGTTATAATTAGATGTCTGAGATGATGCAGGGTACAGATAAAAGCTGAAAATGGTACACCTGCAGCTGGGGAAAAAAATGCAAAATTGGACAGAATTGGACAATACATCAATCAATCTGCCCACCAGATGAGAAGAGGGTAGGGAGAAAAACAATGTGCTGGTGGTAAAGCCACAGCTGCCTTTGCCATTTCTGCACGAAGAAATGTAATACAAACTTTTACCTTCAGCCCCCCACTCTCACTGCCCACTATCTTTTTCTTTTCTCAGAAAAAATAGTGACATTTCTCCTCCTTACCCTGAAGAAAAGGTTGCCCAAGGGTCAAAGCAAACATTTCTGACTCATGGAAAGCACACTGAAAGCAGAGCTTTCTGAAAGGAATTCTTCTCTCTTCTTTCTGCAAGCAGAAAGACACAGCAGCTCTGCACTGAAACATTTGCTGTGTGGACCTGCAGCTGGCCTGGCCTGCCCCTTGGAGCTCTGGCTTTTGTGTGTACAGCAAGTAAATACTTCTCCCCATGCTCAGGGACCTCACTGTGGGTCACAGCCATCACTGACTCTGTTCCTTTGTACCTGATTTCCCTCCAGATCAAGATGCTTTACTGGAAGTCCCAGAGAGGAGCTGCAGGTGCATCAGAGGTATGCAGCCAACATTAATAGGACCTTTCCTTCAGAGATCACTGTCATAATCCCTGTCTCAGCAGGTTTGAAGTACATTCTTGCTGTGTACTGACGTAACAGGCTGATTTCAATCAAACTTTGCCTGGTGTTTCTCTGCTCCCTGCCCTCCCAGCCCTCCCCCAGACTTTTGAAATTATTGATCAACTACTCAGGAGAACAAGGAGCCTTGAGGATGTTGCCATCTGAAATTGGGAATACTACCATTTTCCTGGTGCTGCCCAGGGAAGAAAAAGACACCACAGTGCTCTCTCTCTTAAGGACTCACACAGGATTACATGGGACTGGATATTAGGAAAAATATATTCTCCAAAAGGGTGGTCAGGAATTGGAACAGGCTGCACGGGGAAGTGGTGGAGTCATCATCCCTGGAGGATTTAAAAGATGTGTGGATGTGGCACTTGGGGACATGGTTCAGTGACGTGCTTGGTTGGCAGTGCTGGGGGAAAGGCTGGGCTCTATGATCTTGGAGGTCTTTTCCAACTTAATGACTCAGAACTAGTCAGAAGGTGGCCAGGCTGCATCCCTGCAGGGCAAGGAGTGAGAGGTTAAGGGCGTGGAGCTCAAATATATCTCACTGGGAGTTACGTCCCTTTGGGATCTATAAGTTTACTCTCCTGGACAAGAAGCAGATAAGATTGACTCTCTTGTCTGTTGTTGCTTGCTTTCCCTTTCTACAGCCTGCTTTGTCAAACTAAGTTAATGAAGCTAGTAATTTATATAAACGAGAAAACACACACTCAAGAGCTCCCTGCTTTATGTCTCTGACCCATTGGAAATCAATTTGGGATCACTGCTATCTATTTGCAGCTGACTGGGCTCTCCATCCCTAAATTATCACTTTGTAATTTCCCTGTGCTTTTTTTTTTTTTTTTTTTTTTTTAATCTCTGCAGGGAACGTCTAAAAGGGGATTTTTAATCCCCACATCTACATTTCCTGCAATTCCTATGTTTCCATGAGGCACTGGAGACCTTTCAGCAGCGAGCAGGACTGCAGAGAGAAGCTGGTGGTGATGAGATCTGCCTCTCCTGCTGAGCACAGTCCTTGGCTTCCAGACAACCTGCTGGAAAGGTGTTTGTGACTCACAGCAGCAGGAGGGGTTTGTGAGAGCCTGGGGACGTTTGTGGTGCTGAGGGTCACACTTGCCCAGCTGAGGTTCTCCCCAGCAGCATCCCCAGGAAGGTGCTGTGCTCAGCTGGAGCAGCTGGGGCTCTGGTGAGGCCGGGCAGCATGAGGGGTTGGCTCTCTTCCTGCAGCTTCTCAGCCACAGGGAGCTGTGTTTATTTACCCAGCACAGCCACAAGGCAGGGCAATGCTCTGCTGAGAACTCGACAGCAGAAGGCCCCCGGAGCCGTGATGGAATGTGGCAGGAATGTGGCAGGAATGTGGCAGGATGCTGTCAGCCACAGCTCCAGTTGGTGTGACCAGCTGCCCTTGGGAGTGGGAAGGTGAAGCTACAGCCTGTGTTGTAAACCAAGTCCATCCTGGGCTCGTGGAGGCAGGGCAAGAAGGAAAGAAGAAATCATTACTTTTTGGACTTGAAGCAAACGATGCCCACCCCAAGGCTAAGTCTGTGATCCCCCAGAGGTGGTCCTGTGAGAATGCAGGAGTCACTCAAGCCCTCCTGCGCTCCCTCACTTGCGGTGTGCCACTTCAGTGGATTTTTGATTGTGGTTTTCCTCCCTCCCCTCAGCCCTACAGTGCAACAGGGGCAGGCCAAGCACGTGCATGAACCACTGGTGTGAGGTCCACATGAGCAGAGCTGTCAGTGCACAGTCTAGAGGCAGGTGAGTCTGAGGGTACATGCACCTGTGAAAGGGTTTTTTTATAAAAATAATCGAAAGATTGAGGATGGAATTCCGGGGCAAGTGTTCAACCAACCCACTCCTCAGCAACTGGAGGCAGCTCTGCAGGAAGTAAGATGAAAATAGTTCAAATATTATGTGCAAGAGTTAGCTATGAGCTGTATCACCAATATATATTATATACAAGGTATTTAAAATCATTAACAAGACAAAATCTTCAATGCTAAGCTTTGGAATTATTTTCCCTCAATTACTGGATCATTTTAAATTCAACATCTGTCGTTAATATGCATAAATTAAAAAATAAAAATAGATTTGAAACCATCTAAAGCACTAGGCAGCATATGGCAGACCTGTTTAATCTTAACAAGTCAATAATATTATCATTATGAATCGCTTCTCCGTTAAAATGTGTATTTATATCTGTTGTATAAATGATGTTTATTTGTAAAAGCCTTTTGTGCCACCCATGCAATTGTCACTTGTCACAGCTAATTCTAGATTGTTTCGAAAAAACAATTTTCCTCTTGGAAAATTGCCACAGACTGAGGACAGACAGAAATGCAAATCATCACCAGTCAAAGTTCTGACAACATCACACACAAAGTGCAGGAAGATGTGGAAGACCTGTGTTTTGCTGTAGTTAAAAATGATGGGTTTCTTTATTTTTAAGGCATTGTGGAAAGCACTGTTCCAAACACTTTTCACCCCCCAAGATCTACATTCTTTCCTGGTTTCTAACATTCTTCCTTCATTGCTAAATGAAGAAACAGGTTTTCCCATGGAAGAGTTTACAGTGGCACTGCTCACCTGGAAATGCTGCTGCCCAGGGACAGGGTGAGGACACAGGAGAAGTGGGCATTAAAAGCCAGACTTCTCAGACCCTGAAATCATTAAATTATTGGTTAAGGGCAACAGAACTTTGAAAAGTTGTCTTTCAGTCCTTGACTGAGAAGGTTTATCTCCTTCCCCCATGCATGTTAAGGAAAGGCTCTTGAATTTCAAGTCACTATTTTTCATGCAGACATCTCCCTTCAGCTCGGTGTGAGGCAGTCACATCTCAGAGATGCAGCAGGAGAAGTCACACCTTCACTTTGCCCCCTCAGGAGGGGCTGTCAGCAGGGTCAGCCCAGACAGCAGCTCATTCTGCACATCAGCATTCAACATTTTGGGTCAAACCCTCTCCAAGGGCATTGTACAATCAGCTTGGGATGCTGTCTGTGCTCCTGTGTGTTCACTCAGTCTTACAAACTTTAGATCTGATTTGTGGGTTTAGCTCAGATCTGCTTCCCAAGGATTCAGTGGCACAGTAACAGCAGCCTCAGGTTAAATGTCTTCTGTGAACGTGTGAACTCCATTGGCAAGCAAAGAACAACCAACAAATCCCAAACCCCCAACAGGTCAAAGGAATGAATTCACATAACAATTCAACAATTCTTAAAATGCCTTGGTTCCTGGGGATTAGGTCACTTCTAAGAGGGGTAGAAGATGTTTTAATGTTTGCCCACCACTGAAGGAGGTATGTCCAAGTGGAATATTTGGTGGCTTTCTAAACCATTATGGGTTTGCTGAGTGATCAGAAAAGGACAAAAAAATTGGGGGCAAGAAGAAAATGCACAGGATTTTTAGTGTTAAAATGAATTACCTGGACAAGCTGAATCTGCAATGTGATGTTCAACAAACATCCTAATTTGCAGTGCTGAAAATAGAGATAATTAGGCAAGCACTTTCACTTCCAGATCCAACATGAGGTATTTGAAAACAGAGGCGGAAGGTGGGTTGGGAGAAGGCCAGACTGGCACAAGAATAGTGTTAGACTTTCTGTCAGCAGTGAGTAAAACCAAATGAAGTGTCAGCACAGCTTTCTGCATCTGAAACTATTTACATTCAAATATTGAGACTCAAGGAGATGGATAAAGATAATGTAGAGCTACAGTGAGTTTCACAATTCATCTATTTAAAAATAGCTGCAAAAATAGCAAGCTCTAGAGATTATCCTAAATTGCAGATATCTGAAACATGGATCTGCAGTTTGATTTCACCTTTTATTGCAGAAAGTCCAAGCTCTTTGAAACAGAGTTTAGAGCAGAGACAAGTGTGTCCCTATTGTGTCTTCTTAAAAGGAGACCAGTGATTTAACCAAGCCACTGTGATATTCTGCTGTAGATAATAGGTCCAAAATGAGCTTTGAGGTTTCTCTCTCCACAAGATTTGAATTTGACATTCACAGCATAACCAGAGGGTAGAAAACAGCGAATCATGTAGGTAGAAACTCTTGCTAATGTCCCATTTACAGTAACTAAACAAGTTTAATCCCAAAAGAAATGAAAGAGAGCTTTGAAGTGCTCTGTTTAACCTCTGTTAGCTAGAGGTGTTTTCTATGAAATTCAAAATATGTTGTCAGGGAGAGCAACATCCTTTTAGGAAATATTCTAGCCTTGTGAGCTGGATATTGCCACTTTTAACCACCAGGACACGTTTTAGTAACTGCAGAAACACAGCAAGGAAGATCTTACAACAAGATATGGCAGAGTTTAGCTGTTCAGAAGCGTGCTGATTTCTCTTATTAATGGCTGGGAATCCAGCAGGCACCTCTTACCCACTGAATCTCAACCCTGCACAGGTACTTCCCAACAGGCACTGACGAGACATTTGAGAATCCACTTTGGAATAAGCAGCAGTGTGGGTAAGCTGTCACTGCATCTGGAAAAGAGAGAGAAGCCTGAGAGGAACCTGTGAGGTCTCTGACTCAGAGCATTTAAGAACTGTGTTAGGCCTGGTTCCAAATAGCTCCTTCTTCTTCTGCAGTGTATTTGGACACACTGTCTGAGCAGGCAAGGAGCAAACACAGGTTACTCCTCAAAGCTTGCATGGGGCACCTCCAGCTACAGTCACACTTTGGGCTGAGAACCTTCATCCCACCTCCATCCACATCAGCAATAGTCTTGATTTCAAATCAGGATAACAGGAAGTTTACAAGGGGTCCCTTCTTTTCCTTTCTCCTCCTCAACACCAGTAGAAGAAAAACAGAATAAGGTGAACTGCCAGCCTGTTTGTTTTGTGTTATACAATAATCCCAAGAACAGTTTCTAACAAGTGGAAGAACCCAAGATCTGAGAGATCTCCTCCTAAAGCTCTGTCAGACTGAAGTCCATGAAGCAAAACCCACAAATATATATAATTATCAACCTAATAAAAAGCTAAAACAAAACTCTGAATCAGAGCTAGTAGGTATATCAAGTACCATCTCTTCTCAAGAAATAATTATCAGTTTCTCTTCAACATTCAGCATGAATGCATTTGATAAAATTAAACGAGCCTCCCGAGGTTGTGTTATTAGGAGATACTATTGCATGAAGTCAGCTAGAGCCCACATAGGCAAGACAGTGATTAGAATAACTATCTGATACTAATAAAGCAGCTTAATAAAACAGAATTAAAAGGCCTTTCCTAATCTGTTAGGAAAATAAATACTGAAAAGAATTAATGAAAATGAATTAAAACTATTCGGGGGGAGGCATAAAGGATTGATATTCCACCTAATCTTAGACATCCCTGTTCTCCCAGAGTACTAAAAAGCTGTCCCCAGGCCATTATATTCTTTCTAAGAAACTTTCAGATTTCATCCTCATGGATTTATTAACTCCTTTTTGTTCCAAATGGGTCTCTTGCTCCTACTGATATTACCTCTTCTGTTTCCTCTTGCACTCACCTCTCAAAAGAGGCACTGTGAGCCCCACCTCTGCTTCAGACTGTGTCATCTGTCTTCTGTTTGGAGACCTCCTCCACTCGTGTAAAATGCTGCAGGATAACAGGCTCCTGATGCTGCCCCAGCTGGCACAGCCTCCCATCCCTGTGCCTGGAATCTGTCTGAGCAAGAAGACAAATCAATACTAATTAAAGGTCCCCTGGAAAGTAAATTATTGCTTGCAGTGTGGCAAGGAGCCCTGTTGCCTGTTTGTGCCTCTGGTTTATCACCCCACATGAACAAGGGTTTGTACCTGGAACCAGGAATCTATAGCTGATAAAGGTCACAGCTCCTGTTGGGATAAAAGGAGCCTACAGACCTCAGAGAAAAGTGGGTTTTTCATTTCCACACATGCAGCAGGTAAGAGTGACCATTTCAGCTGTCTGGCTGCTGATTTCCAGCAGCTCCCAAGGATTGGAGCATACACAGAAATATTCAAGAGCATTTTGTGGGGTACCTGGAGTGACCTCCCATTTCCTGCAGGAAGGATGCTTTCTGGTATCTGGCCTTCCTCTCTAGCAGACAAGAGCTAGAACAAGATAAATAGAATCAGAGAAAATTATGTTAAAAATCAGAAATGTTGCTTAGTGCAGGTTGCCTCTCACAAGCTAGGGCAGAAAATTCTGTTTCCTCGTACCTCTGCTAAAAGGTTTGTGAAAGTGCTCTATCAGTATTGCACTGGCTTCATGTGCAGCTCAGAGGGAAGGTTCAATAGTGACCAGCTGCAGAAAGAGGATGTTTAAAATGTGTCAGACCTCTTAATTACAGATGATCATTTAATGATTTCAGCTTTTGCTTTGAAATGAGTCAGTGCCATTAGTGGAGGCAGATCCTTCCTTTATCACAGTCCCTTCCAGCAAGGTTTGCTCTCACAGAACATGAACCATTTTGTTTAATTGCTCTGTGAGAGTCCAGGACATCAGGAAATGGAACATCCCACACTGGCTCAAACATCTGTCTGAGTGTTGTGCTGCAGGAATGTCACTCCATCACAAGCACACAAAAGCAGTTTGGGTCAGAAAACAGCCCCCTGGCTTGTAGGATGATTGCTACATGTCCATGAGTCCAGCAGGTTCACTCAGCCTGTTTGGCCTGGGGCACTGGCAGAGCTGGATGCAGAGCTGACTTTTCCCCCTTTCCAATGAGAAGGTCCTTTGAGAAGGTCTCCAAGCTGTGATTTTAGGTGGTGTTTATAGTTTTCTCTCTATCCAGAGCCCATTCATAAAAAGAGACAAGTTTCTCCAGAGAGGATTTGCAGTTGACAAATCCCTTTGGACTCTTAATCATTCTCTTGTTTTCTTTCATTGCTCACCAAGATTTTGTGTTTTCCAAGATTTTTCTGGCATTTTGAAGGTAAGCTGACTGATAGACGAAAACCTCCATTAGTCTTTTCCTCCCTTTCTTAGAAAATGAATAGATTTGCTCTTTTCCAGTCTTCTGAAAGAACTTGGGGCTTCTCAGCTTTTTGTGCTGAAGATTCCCCTGTTAATGGTAATGAGTCAGTAACTTCTTGGTCTCCTTACCTTTGTTTCTCAATGCTTATTTAGAACTTTCTTGCTACTCCTGATATCACTTGTACAATTCTGTTCTGTACCTTCCCTTTTTACAATTTTGTCTCCTCATTCTCATGCTGTTCCTTGATACTTGTCTCAGGAGCCTCCTTTAGTTGTTACTTTCTGTAGGCATCTTCTCTGTCCTTAAGGTGATTGAAGAACTCATGACTTTTCCCCATTTTTTTTTATTCCTTTCAGAGGGAATTTTTAGAAAGAAACTCCCATTTGAGCAATACTGTCAAGAAAAGTAAAGAAAGATACCCTCCAAAAATACAAACTGGGAGGATTTTTAGTGTTGCTTTTGTGTGTGACCTGATCCTGGCAGTAAATGCTTCCTAGACTGATAATTTACTCTTTCAAGCAAGATCTTTTAAAACTTTCTTCTGAAGAAAGAAGAACCAAAACACAAAAAAACCCCAACCCAAAATAAAAGCAAGAGGCCAGTTTAATTTTAAGGGATTGTAAACAAGCTCTAGCAAGTCCATCTGCATGCAGCAACTTTCAAGACCATAATATTAATCATGACAATATACTTAAAATTCAAATTAAAATAACATTGACCAATAACTCTACCTGCATTTCCTATGGAGGGGTTTTCTGGGTTATCCCAACACTGAGGGCAGTTAAAAAGGGGGCCACACAATCATTAACAAATATGGACTTAAAATGTGATGCTGGGACAATTTTGTTTATTTTGCTTAACTGTGAGAATCCTTTATGTTTTTCAGGCAGTTGCAGTGGACTTGATATGCAGATGTTTTACTCATTTGAGGAATTAAAGTGATTAAAACTGTTTTGAAGTCCAGTGTTTTGCAATTACACTCTCAGAAGAGCTTTTCTCCTCCTGGTTTCCAGTGAACAATGGATTTCCTTACACGTGTCTAGGGTCATTAAGTATGAGGGCACAGATTTTGGCACTTCGGGTATCACAGGTATGGGATCTCTCTTAAAATACAGCAAAGTGCAGCTGTTTGCTGTGATGTACAACAGTCCCGGATTGTGCCCTGGCTGCGAACTGCGGGCTCTCGGAGCAGCCCCGTGTTTGCAGAGCGCTGGATGCTCTTCCACTGCCACCTTCTGGCCACGGCCAGGGGCATCTGAGAGAGAAGGTAACGAAAGCATTAGACGAACTTGAGACAACAAAAGTCTGACTTCTGAGCCCGACCTTTGACATTTTAAGTCTGTCCCTTGACCCTTTGAGTCCGGCCTCCAAACAAGGTAGGGCTGCTGCAGATGGAGAGAGACCCTCAGCACCCTGAGATGACTGATCTGCTCTTCTGAAGCTCTGCCCATGAATTACAGATTTTAAACAGTGTTTAAAATATTCAGCTTTACACACTTACAAAAGAGTGCTCATAACACACCAGGAATAGGGGGAAGGTTAGGGAGTGGGGGCTGCATAAATATAAACCACTCCATTCACCACAGGCAGAGCCCAGTTAGGTCTCTGAAGACACCCCTGTCTGACTTGGCCATCCTGGCTCTAGTGATGACTAACTGCAATTCAATTAAAACTTCTTTCTAAGGAAGATGGCTGATTAATGGCCTGGGAGACCTTGGAAGTAGTTATTCCTGCAAGAGGGAGGTTATTAACTTCTTCAGCCAGTGGGTGCTGACCTCAAGGTCTAGTGAACAGAGTAAGCAGCAAACTCACCCCCACAGATACACAGCAAAGCCATTCTGCAGCACTGGAGAGCCCAGGGAAAGTGCTGGGAACTGGACTTGGTTCACACCAACCTGCAGAGCTGCTTCATCTCCTCCTCCTGGCAGGCTGGGAGCAGTCTGGGCCCTTCCCTGGGGCACAGACACCCTGTGCTTTTCCTCCCTCGCCTCTGACGCCAGCAAAGCTTTTGCTCTTCTCCTCTCACCCTGTCTCAATATGGAATAAACACCACACTCTCAGCCAGAGACAGCATCAGGCCCTGGGGATAATTCCCCCACTATCTTACAGGGAAGACCCCAGCAATGGGATAAACAAGCTCAAACACCAGGGCCAAAGACCCTCCCTTGGCTGATCCAAATGAAGTATGAACCTCACCTTCTGCTTTCTTGTATGAACCTCACCTTCTGCTTCCTTGTATGAACCTCACCTTCTGCTTCCTTGTTCCTCCCCTGGCTGGGCTGGGGAAGCCTGGTAGGCAGAGCTAATCAGGCCTCGTTTGTGATGACAACAAACTCTTGCCTTTCATGGCCTGCATCCTAAACCTGCTGTCTAATTCCCTAAGGGAGGGGGATTTACACCTTCTGTTTTATCTCCAGCTAGTTAATGGTCCATTACTGTCAGAGGGATCAGTAGCTAGATCTTAAAGGATTTATGACAGCAAAAAAACCAAAGCCTGCAGAAGAAAATGTACCAGACAGAGGGCACAGGGTACATGGAGAGGAGTTTTCAGGTCCTCAGTGCTGTGACACTGGTGGCTGCACAGTGACTTGGTGACAGCTCTAGAGCAAGGTAGCTTACATTGCAGTCAGGCAGGGAGCCCAGCACAGCTCAGGTCTGCAGCCAGGACAGGTTCAGAGTCCTCCCTCAGCCTGGTCCACACCTGCAGAAGGAGGACACATCAGGCCTGGAAAGACAGTGCAGGAAAGCTCCCAGTTCTGAGCCCCTCACTCGCTCACCACCAAACACAGGATGCCAGTGGTGTTGCTGGCCCTGGAAAGCCTGGTGGACTTTAGTGCTCTTGAGGGACTCTGCCACCCTGGAGTTCCAGTGGTGCTGCAATTCCCTCCCTGCCAGCACTCCCCACTGCCCTCTGCCTTGCCCTTTTGATGCAATCACACAGCTCTGAGGAGCCCATTGCACGCACACCATACAAGCCCCTGCCAGCATTCAAAATTTCACTGCTGTTGCTTTTAACCATTTCATCCACTGACCTTCTAGGAGATCATAATATTTTAACTTCCACCCCCCCCACTCCCTCTTCCTGTACAGCTGGGAGCACTCCTCCCCACTGAATTCTGTGCTTCTGCACTGCAGCCCTGCTTCACACATACACACAAAATAGAGCAGTGCAAATCAGGACAGGAGGAGCCATCCATAAAGCTCCTTTTCAACCCTCCCATCTACCAGGCAAGACAATGTGAAATCCTGAAAATCCAAGGATCATTAAAAAAAATACCAAACAAACAAACAAACAAAAGAACTCCCCATCAAACCCCACCCTACCTGTGGGCTGCACCCACAAACAAGACAGAGGACTTTTGGATTCTACAACTCATTTCATTCCACACGTAAGAACAGCCCACTGCAGGACCTCAGGATCCAGCCTGCTCCACCCCAAAAAGCCTCACCACAGGATAAACAGGAGCACTACAGTGATTCCCACCGTCCCCTCCTCCTGACTCTTTTCAGCTGCTCTCAGTGTAAACCCCCCTGTGTATCTCCAAGCAAAGCCAATCAATGCAGCATTAAGAGGAATGGAGGAAGAAGATCCATCAAGTCATTGCTTTGCATGAGGAGGACACACGAGACTTCAGGGTGGTCCTTCACACTGGGTTGCTTCATATTTACAACACTTTGCTTCCTTTGAAGGGAGCTTTTTGGGATTTATTTCTAATATATTTTCAGAAATGCAGCCCTGGCCTGCCAGCACAGACAGGAATTGCAACAAAATAGGCTATGGTTTGGTTCCTAGAGTTTATTTACTATTATTGTTGTAAATAACAGGTTACAATGTTTGTGATGTTTAATAAATCTCCTTTTTGTTAAGCCTGTGTTCATATGTAGGTGGAGCCTTCCCCCCTGCCTGTGTGTGTGCAAGGTTATAAAGCAATGTTTTTCTCTGGTAGTATGAGCTTTTCATTTAATTCTTACCTTTCTCATTTTGACCATCTTTCTATTCCTGTCTCTGGTTTTCACCAACAGAATTTTCCATTTTTTCCTTTGGCTGCAAATAACTTGGTCTTTGAAGGGGAGTTGAGATTCCTAATGTGTGGCCTCAGAAATACCTGTAAGTGCTTCCTTCAAGTTGAGAAATAGCAAGAAGGAAAAGGAGTCTTACTGAAAAAGATGCAGGGAAACATTTCCCTTGGGTAACAGCTTCACAAATTCCAATATATTTTGAGGAATATGTTTTCTCTGTTTCCTATCCTTAGCTGAGACTGTGGTCATGATCCTAAACATTGCTTTTTTATCTTGTCCAAGACACCTTTTAACTGAAATCTAGGTCTCTTCAAAACTGAGATTCACAACATGGAAAAAGAGAAATCATGACATTAAAAAAAAAATCTATTCCAAGGAAAGAGTAAATTGCCATGTCATGTTATGATTGAGTCATCACAAACACCCTCCACTGCTCACAAAGAACTACATCAATAAACATAGTGTATGTGTAAGGAAACATAGTAAATAAAGTATATAAATAAACATAGTAAATTAGGTCAATCCTTGCAATAAATAACCTGAGAAACATACTTGTTCCAAATGTTTCTAAGTCAACATATTAGCTTAAAGAGGAAATATTTTTTTAAACAATCTCATGTTTATAAGCCTGTTTTATAAGCTTGTTTCAGGACTTTGAATCTCGGAGGACTCAGTTTTAGCAATCTAGGAGGATATAGTGACATTCAAACTGGCCAGTGCTTTGTATCCAGGAATTTTAAGGCAATGAAAAATAGAAATACAGCTGCAGGGAGAGGAAAAAGGCAGGCTTCAGAAGCTGAGATTAAAAGAGCTTTCCTTCCACATTTTTTCCCCACCATTTCACAGGAAGGATAGAGAAGGGAGACTTTTTGATAAGTTGCTTTTTAAGAAACACCAAGGAGGCCACTGAAAAACAGCAGTAATTTCCTGGTCCCACACTACACAGTGACAGTAATTTTGCAAGTAAAGGGGCTAAATTATTTGTGTTTAGAGTTCAGCTCCAGCATGATATAAATGCAAGAGTTAAATGGGTTTGCTCAAGAACTCAGGCTGGGCTGCACCTGCTCCTGCTCCTCAGGTGCTGCCCATGAGGCCCCAGTACTCCAGGAATAACTCTGGGATCCCTGTGAGGAGCTCCTGTGCTCTGTGAGAGTCCAGGGCATCAGGAAATGGAACATCCCACACTGGCTCAAACTGAGTGTTGTGCTGCAGGAATGTCACTCCATCACAAGCACACATCAGCAGTTTGGGTCAGAAAACAGCCCCCTGGCTTGTAGGATGATTGCTACATGTCCATGAGTCCAGCAGGTTCACTCAGCCTGTTTGGCCTGGGGCACTGGCAGAGCTGGATGCAGAGCTGACTTTTCCCCCTTTCCAATGAGAAGGTCCTTTGAGAAGGTCTCCAAGCTGTGATTTTAGGTGGTGTTTATAGTTTTCTCTCTATCCAGAGCCCATTCATAAAAAGAGACAAGTTTCTCCGGAGAGGATTTGCAGTTGACAAATCCCTTTGGACTCTTAATCATTCCCTTGTTTTCTTTCATTGCTCACCAAGATTTTGTGCTTTCCAAGATTTTTCTGGCATTTTGAAGGTAAGCTGACTGATAGACAAATCCCCCATTAGTCTTTTCCTTCCTTTCTTAGAAAATGAATAGATTTGCTCCTTTCCATTTCCAGATGCTTATTTACACCCCCCGACTTCCCTGAGATAACCCCGAGGGGCTCTGACGTTAATTCTGCCCTGTTCCTCTGCCCCTCCTGGGCTAACATCCCCAGGCTCAGGTGTGTGCAGCTTCCCAGTTCTCTGAGTGAGCTGATGCCTCCTCCTGCACTGCCATGGAGAGACCCTCCTGCTCTTCTCCCTCCAAGTCTTTGCACTTGGTCTTTCCTCTCAGAAATGCAAAACAAGACCCAGAGAACTTGAGACTTCTTGGCT